CAAGCATGGTGGTGGTAGCATCATGGTCTGGGGCTGCATGAGTACTGCTGGTACTGGGGAGCTGCGGTTCATTGAGGGAAACATGGATTCCAGCATGTACTGTGACATTCTGAAGCAGAACATGATGCCCTCCCTTCAGAAACTGGGCCGAACGGCAGTTTTCCAACATAACGACCCCAAACACACCACCAAGATGACAACTGCCTTGCTGAGAAAGCTAAAGGTGAAGGTGATGGAGTGGCCAAGTATGTATCCAGACCTGAACCCTATTGAGCATCTGTGGGGCATCCTCAAGCGGAAGGTGGAGAAGCGCCATGTGTCTAACATCCAGCAGCTCCGTGATGTCATTATGGAGGAGTGGAAGATGATCCCAGCAACAACCTGTGCAGCTCTGGTGAATTCCATGCCTAGGAGGATTAAGGCAGTGCTAGATAACAATGGTGCTCAAACAAAATATTGACACTTTGGACACAGTTTTGACATTCACTTAGGGTGTACTCACTTTTGATGCCAGTTATTTTGACAACAGTGGCTGTATGTTGAGTTATTTTTAGAGGACAGTAAATCTGTACTGCAGCAAACTTCAGACGGGCCTGGACATGTACTGGCTTAAGCAGGGGGACATGTCTGGCACTGCAGGATTTGAGTCCCTGGCGGCGCAGTGTGTTACTGATGGTAGCCTTTGTTACTTTGGTCCCAGCTCTCTGCAGGTCATTCACTAGGTCCCCCCGTGTGGTTCTGGGTTTTTTGCTCACAGTTCTTGTGATCATTTTGACCCCATGGGGTGAGATCTTGCGTGGAGCCCCTGATCGAGGGGGATTATCAGTGGTCTTGTATGTCTTCTATTTTCTAATAATTGCTCCCACAGTTGATTTTTTCACACCAAGCTGCTTACCTATTGCAGATTCAGTCTTCCCAGCCTGGTGCGGGTCTACAATTTTGTTTCTGGTGTCCTTTGACAGCTCTTTGGTCTTGGCCATGGTGGAGTTTGGAGTGTGACTGTTTGAGGTTGTGGACAGGTGTCTTTCATACTGATAACGAGTTCAAACAGATGCCATTAATACAGGTAACGAGTGGAGGACAGAGGAGCCTCTTAAAGAAGAAGTTACAGGTCTGTGAGAGCCAGAAATCTTGCTTGTTTGTAGGTGACCAAATACTTATTTTACCGAGGAATTTACCAATTAATTCTTTAAAAATCCTAAAATTTGATTTTTTTTTCTCATTTTGTCTCTCATAGTTGAGGTATACCTATGATGAAAATTACAGGCCTCTCTCATCTTTTTAAGTGGGAGAACTTGCCCCACTGTATATATATACATATATTATCAGTGGTGTGCGGTGGTGTTCTGAAATGGGGAGGCAAAGTCCTTTTATAAAAAAGATCAAATGTAAATTCCTGTCCCAGTCACATGTTCTTGGTTATATAACCATTACTTACACTACCAGGGAAAAAAAAATAAATATATATATATATATATATATATATGTATATATATATACACACACACACACACACACACACACACACACTACCGGTCAAAAGTTTGGGTTCAGTAACACTTGTAATGTTTTTAAAGAAGTCTCTTTTGCTCATCAAGGCTGCATTTATTTGAACAAAAATATAGAAAAGAACAGTAATCTTGCTAAATGTTATTACAATATAATACAATGGGTTCTATTTTAATATCCTTTATAATTTAATTTATTTCTGTGATGCAATGCTGAATTTTCATCAGCCATTACTCCAGTATAAAGTGTCACATGATCCTTAAAGGGGTCATAGGATGCCCATTTTCCACAAGTTGATATGACTCTTTAGGGTCTTAATGAAAAGTCTGTAACATAGTTTGGTTAAAATTTCTCAATGGTAGTGTAAAAAAACACCTTTTTTACCTTGTCAAAAACAGCTCTTTTCAGATCAAGCTGTTTTTGTAGCATTTTCCTTTAAATGTTAATGAGCTGTCCAGTCCCCGCCCCTCTCTTCCGAGCTACTCTCAGATAGACCGTTTACTTTAGCCGCATTCATCGTGAAACTTACTAATTAGCACATTATTAGGAAAGTTGATTTACAAAGATTCATTACAAAACATATTCACTTCTTCTGTAGATGATGCTGGATCATGAATGATTTGCGCGAACATAGACACATTTATGTAGATCGGGGACACATTCCCTTCAGAAACAATGTAATCCACTGTGTCTTCAGCGGCTCAGATGTCGGGAGTAAATGACGACTGCTATGTTCATTATTACATCCAACAACAGAACACCTCAATTGCTTAGGAGTCATTCTTGTCCACATCTGCTCCGGCGGTGAAACAATGGCGGACTGATGACAGCTTAATAACATTATTATAACGATAACATTAGTGTTTACTATTGTCATTTTGCATTATTGACACTATTTTCCTAATTAATGCTGTTCAGTTGCTTTGTCACAATCTGTATTGTTAAAAGCGCTATATAAATAAAGGTGACTTGACTTGACTTGACAGCTCACTCAGGGCGGGTCTAAGGTAAGATGCCAGTCCAGTCTGCTGAAACGCCACTGTCAATCAAACTATCGTGGGGTCACACAGACAGGCATCTGAGATCGGCTCGATTTGAGAAAGGGGAAA